GTCATAGTTCTGCAGTGGATGTCATAGTTCTGCAGTGGATGTCATAGTTCTGCAGTGGATGTCATAGTTCTGCAGTGGATGTCATAGTTCTGCAGTGGACGTCAGAGTTCTGCAGTGGATGTCATAGTTCTGCAGTGGACGCCACAAAGTTGCAGTGGACGCCACAAAGTTGCAGTGGACGACACAAAGTTGCAGTGGACGCCACAAAGTTGCAGTGGACGACACAGTTGCAGTGGACGGCACAGGTGCAGTGGACGGCACTGGTGCAGTGATGTACCAGACATGGTGCCCTAGAACTCATTTTGACACATTCAGTTATTTTCTCTCCTAAGGTAGGTTGCATTTAGCCAAACTTTCTGTCTGAATGTCAGGGGCGCAGCCCTTGTCTTATTATAGGGAAGGTCAATACGCGTCAAAATCAATGCCAAACCGCAAGGTGTCGGAAAAATTTACAAGTGCTATTCTTGTCAAAGGTCAATATAATAAAGGCAACATGGTATCCGTAGTAAATGTAACTTATATTCAAAGATATTATTAGAATCACTATCCGTATTGACGGTCAATATTATAGTGGTAAATTGTAAGCGTAGTAAATAAAACTTATGTTATCTTTCTCATTAATCATTAAAGAGCAGTGCTATAGTAGCAAAATAGTTACTGTTGTAAATGTAAATTATGTTATATTTCTCATCATTTAAGGTCAGTATTATAGTGGCAACATTGTAACCGTAGTAAATCAAACTTACTGTATGTTATCTTTCTCATTAATCATTATAGGTCAGAAATATAGTGGCAACATAGTATCTGCAGTAAAAGTAATTTATGTTACCTAATATTTAAAGTTATTGCAATATTTAAAAGTTTACGTGTTGTAAGCCTTGCGCCGCAATGTACAGAGGGACGCGTGTCCAGGATACTTAGCGCGTCGGGATATTGCCTGGACCAAAATTTATTTTTAGCAGGAGGATTGGAGGGAAGGATTGGAGGGAAGGATTGGAGGGAAGGTATGAAAGGAACGGGAAACTTGACGTCCAGGAAAGGACTCGAGGAGAAGAGGGAGAGGATTGGAAGGAAGTATTGAAGGAAAGGGAGGAAAGAACTTGAAGAAGAGGAAGAAAGTGAGGGCACACGTCCATTGAAAGGAGGGAAGAGATCGACCAGACGTTCATCAAAAAACGCATCTCCCATCAAGAAAGTTTCGACCGCAGTGCAATAGAGCAGATTTTCATCAGTCAAATTCAAATAACAGTGTCCAAAAACTTCAAAAATTGACTTATTTAAAGATAAGTAAACTTTAACGATGTTGAAACTTATACCTCATCGTTGCTTCTTCTATTCAAGCTGAAGGATTTTCACCATAAAACCTGTTACAACACTTCTATACTAAAACTTGTTGCAACTTCGTAAAATTTCGTGACGAAACAATTCACAATACTTCCGTTATAAACCCGTTTGCAAAACTTCCGTTTAGCACATTCATCTCAAGTCAGTTAAACACTTTATCAGGAATCAGATGTTCAAGTGTTTTAAAACAACCACTTTTCAAAAAGTTCGCTATAGAAACCGCCCAAAAATTTCTTTCACGGCGAAAATAAACAAATTATTACAATACTGTAGTTAGAAATACACAAAATAGCGTGCTGCGGTAATGCGCTCACGAAGTTACGCATTTCGAGAAACAAACACATGATATCATAAATTTTAATAAAAAACTATATTAAACTTGTTTAACTTTCGTGGATAATGCCATGAAATGATACATGGCAAAAACATGAACTTCCATTTCGTACTTCGTGAATAAACTATTACAATTGCGTGTTTTGCGACATCTTTCATTGACGCACTAAAGCAATAACGCGTTGCAAAATTACACGTAATATTTCATGACCGTGACTACTTGTGACATGCTTCGTGGATACACTTTCGTGTTGCGAGAACAAACTCTTGAAGTGACATGATTAATGAACACACTGTCAATATGAACTGTTCCGTGAACCAATTCTTAGAATAACACAATAGGAAAACTCACAGCGTGAAAAGTAAAATTAAACACTGTTATAGAGTCAGCTCGAAAAATGTGTTGGTCACATTGTCCAAATATACACTTCCTTATCCACATCAATGTAGAACTGATTTTCTCTCCCGGCCTTATCGCCGGGCCAAACGGCGCCAGGATGACCCACACACTAGCAAAAAATGCATGCGTAAATGTTTAACTAGTGTCTAAAAAATGACTGTAAATGTTCGCCTAATTGAACGTTAATAAGTATAAAAGGAAAAGAAAAACTCACCGATCTGCGGGACGTCGTAGGGCCTGGCGCTGCTGCGGGCACTCCTGAAGAAGGCGTGGTTGATGCTACTCCCCACCTGCTGCAGCCCTAAGTTGACTTCCTCCTGCCCTGCGTCTGTCTGCTCTTCCCCTTCCTCCCCATATTCTGCTTCCATGGAGTCACCTTCCCCTTCCATGAGGGCTTTACTAGCCCCATCACTGCCCTCACCCCCTCCGGGATCTGATTTGATCCCCTCAGGCACGGTCCCCATGGACTTGATGTTTTCACCTCCAGCAGTCCGGGCCATGGCCTCTTCAGTAGCCGGCGATGAGGAGAGGCCTCCTCCTCTTTTGTGAAGCCATAGACTGGGGCTTAGGCCATCTTCCCCGACATCTTCAGAGGTCTCTTGCAAACCATCATTCTGCTCCTGCTGCAGGAAAGCAGGTCCTGCAAGTTTCCGCCTCTGCCTCTGCAAGAAATGAGGTTCCTGGGCGAACGCAGTCGAAGGAGGACCGCCAGGTCGTCGGAAGAGGTGCGGGTGGACGTTGCTGGCAGAAGGAGGAGGATAAGGTATGGCTGCTCGCACCAACGCTAGTAGCGTGTGTCGCTTCTGCTGCTGCTTTTCTTGATACCGACGGGTAATTTGCTTCAGTCTTGGATTTTGGTGACCCAAACTTGGAGGTCTAATGGGCAAGAAATCGCCAGCGTCCTCTGTCGCTGTCGAAGCTGCAGAAGGTGCTGATGGTGGTGGTGGTACGAGTAATTTATTTTGGTGTTCCTGGATGAAGGATAATGGTGGTTGCAGTTGGTGGTGATTGTAGAGCTGGTGTTGCAGCAAAACGCTGCTACTGTTGCCCTTCTTGATGGCCACTACACTACGACACTGTGATGACGCCAGCACCACAGCCGCAACTAGCAACACTGCTCTCAGTCCGCGACCACTCGGCATGGTACGCACGCGGCGGCCGACACTGCACTACTGCTGGACCTCGGCACTCAGGCGGCACCGCTCGCTCCCATCCAGCAGCCAGCCAGCCTTCCTTCCAGCCATCCAGGCAGCCAAAACCAAGCCATTTTCTCGACAGCCTGCCAGCCAAAAGCCATCTTCTGGCCAGCCGTCTGCCTATTCATGAAGGCCTCTGGGCCTCAGCTATGCGTTCTCACCCTCTTTCTCTCTCCCTACCGCTCCCTTTCTCTACCTTTCGCTCCCTCCATCCCCTCCTCTCACTTACTCCCTTTTCCCCTTTACCTCTCTCCCCTTTCACTCATGTCCTCGAACGTCAAAGTGCAATAAGTCTGCCCGGTTTGGATTCCCAGCCATGACCCCGGGATCCAAAAAAATGCCCAGGTTAAAATAGAAGAAAACATTGATGTAGGCTGGTTAATTTTAACGCAGTATTAGGTAATATAAATTTAAATAAATAATAGGACATTTTATAAGCAGCGCTCCGCCTTATTGAGACCACCAGAAGACTGCAAAGAGAAGGTAGACGAAATAATCAACTTCTTGTGGTAGATTTTACGTTGGATTACGACACCAATCCATCTGCTGCGACGGTAAAGTCGGTCATCAAATTGATTCCGCTATAAACATTCTAAGAATTAAGATAAATAAGTAATGATACCAAAGTCAGAAATCTTTGTTTTTACTACTATATAGCACTAGCTAGTAACCGAGACTACAGATGGTGGTCTCTCTGAACCAACTGCCTAAATTTAAGGCTAAATTTAAGACTTTAAAAAGTCAATTTAAAGTCGAACTTTAAATTGAAGACAAACTCTAACGTCATTTACGGATGAAATTAACTTAAATTTGCCATTTTATATGAAGTTTTAATTACCTTATGACTTAACTTTGGTAATCGCGGCTGACAGCGGAAATATTCCAGAGATAATATTATTCAATAGAATATTCCAAAAGTATATATAATTACTCAGTAAGTCTCAACAAAGTCGATAGCTTGATTTTACACATCGCAGGCCGCAGACTCGTCTATCCAACCACGATGCCACATCCACATCCACTAACGTCATCCTCTGAAATCCAGACATCGAATTTCAATTCATGAATGATTCTCAAAGGCTGCATGACCGCCGTCCTCCGATGTGGACTGTGGAGGCTGCATGGCCGCCGTCCTCCAATGTGGACTGTGGAGGCTGCATGGCCGCCGTCCTCCGATGTGGACTGTGGAGGCTGCATGGCCGCCGTCCTCCGATGTGAACTGTGGAGGCTGCATGGCCGCCGTCCTCCAATGTGGACTGTGGAGGCTGCATGGCCGCCGTCCTCCAGTGTGAACGTAATAGAAAAATCCTTCTAAAATAAGGAAAATAAATAAAGAAAGGAAAGAGAATCATTTAAGAAAAAAAATACTTTTTTTGCTTGTATTTTTTATGCCTGTCAATTTTCCGCAATTTTTCCGAAAAATGAAAATTAATGAAAATCCCAAGCCAAAACGGAATAATTCGGAAAAGATGGCGGTTCTAAAAGCAGAGGCGTTACCCATAACCCAACCGTTACTCATGTCTCACCCACACGGTGACGTCACGACGCTGGCTTCTAGCCAGCATACCTAAATAAGCCTGGAAAATTTCTAAAATTTGTCTCTGATCCTGCGTGTCATATCAAAAAATTGGCAGTAAATCATCAAATAAATTTTTGTATTTTTGAGTCCAATTATTTCAGAAAATAATTTCCAATTTTATTTTGATACTAATCTTCAATCATACGTCTAAATATATAAATTATTTCAAAAAATTTCTCCTTGTTGTCTTTTTAAAATGTTATATTTATCAGATTTTGGCCTATAATAAAGTAATGCTGCATTAGCAGTACATTGAAATGCCAGGAAAGTATCACAAAAGTTGAAGTTTAGCTAAATGTTCGCCCAATTTCACAGAGTTAAAGCCAGGAAACCTTCACCTAATTTCACGGAGCTGAAGGCAGGAAATCTTCACCAAATATCACGGAGTTAAAGCCAGGCAACCTTCACCTAATTTAACGGAGCTGATGGCAGGAAACCTTCACCTAATTTAACGGAGCTGATGACAGGAAATCTTCACTTAATTTCACAGAGTTAAAGCCAGGAAACCTTCGCCCATTTTCACGGAGCTGAAGGCAGGAAATCTTCACCTAATTTCACGGAGTTAAAGGTACGAAACCTTGATATAATTTCCCGGTGTTGAAGCTTGGAAACCTTCGTATTAGTTCACGGAGTTGAAGCCAAATAACTTACAACACATTTTACGGAGTTGCAGCTAGTAATTCTTCGCCCGGGAATCCTTCACACTAAATTAAAGTCACGAAAAATACCAATAAGCATCGCATAAATGAAATCACCAATATACAATAATAATGAGATAGAGCAAATAACACTAATAATGTAATTCATCGTAAAGGCTGCAATGAATAGCGAGTGGCAATTGTATTATTTCCTGAACGGCCGATGTCCGTCGCCTGATGGTGAAAGCAAAATCCTGGCAAGAAGGATGGCCTGATAAGGCCTTAAAATATGTACGCTTCTGAACATCCGTTGAAATAAAAAAATATAATTAATACTTTTTAAATTCCTAAATAACAATTTAGGTTGCTTTAACAGACTAACAGATCACTTTTGCAGCTGAACTATAGGGGCAGTACAATTTTTAAATGATAACTGCGACTAATTATCAAGCTACTGGCTTCGCGTAAAGGGTTATTGGGCCCTTCCGTGGCCAGTAGCGCCTATGCACAAAGCCAATATCGTAATAAATCATGTATGCTAATATTTTCAAGTTGTATTGGCTTTTACCACTGGCTCCGTGTAAAAGATTATTGGGTCCTTCGTTGGTCAATTGCGGCTATACACAAGGCCAATAGCACGGAAAATAGTGGCGGTTAATGTTTGAAAGTGTCACTGGCTGCCACTACTGGCCCTGTGTACAACAACCTTATCGCCGTGTGAACAAAACAGTCTCTTGGGTTGTGGAGTTCGTACTCTATTAATATATTAATATCTGTGATAACCTTATTCTTTACAAAGATTCAGATTTCTTTGGTATCAAACGAGTTTAATGTTATCGAATAATGTGCACCGACTTGACGAAAACTGCTGTTATATAATTGCATGTCTCGCGCTCGTGACGCGAGTGATAAAATGGTCGTTAAGGTGCAATGTAGCACATTAGCCAGTGGATATCAACGCAAGTTTGAACCTTCTAGTACGTCAAGAACATCTTTTATAATCTAGAATTAGAAACCAAGGTAAAATCGGTGACTAAACGTTACCCGAACCGATAAATGCCATCAACCACAAGGTTATCGTAATGCACTATGGCAGTAAAACCTCTTACTAGAGCGTGACTCAAACTCATTGTAGCAAGAATGCTTGGCTATGCGTAATCGAAACAAGGCCGTGATTTGTGAGAGAAATGAGCCTAAAACGGGAGGCCACTCAAGCATTTGAATAACGACCGCTCGTTAGTCACACCCACGCGTCCAAATAATTGACTCGAAGGCTGCGTAGGCAGAGTCTCAGCCCAATTACTTTCAGTTCTTCATGAAAGTTTAGAGGCTCTTTTTATTGCCACAAACCTTCTTATTTAAGCTCAAGTGCCAGAAAAAGACTCGGCAATTATCGGACAGCTAAACGCATGTGACACTAAAACAATTGATGGTATGTCACCATGGATGGTTTAGAGACTTTCGTCTTCTTTCAGTTTCAGTCTAATAAACTTGGACAGACTCTTTTTAAATTTTTCATGAAACACCAGAGTGATAGCTATAGTCATTTACACAGCACATCCAACCATTTCTTGGATTGTGCAGTTTTGAGCAATTATGATGAAAGGATGATGAATAACGTCACTGAATGGACACCCGCAGTGATGATTACTCGGTGTGATTTAATGAATCGTAAGCCATCACAGGATGTAAGGTGATGAAACTACTTACGTTTCATTGCAAGACGAAATGATGAATAATAAAAGAGAAAAATAGAGTAACAAAAAAAATGCGCCAGGTGAAGGCAGCACCAGATGAAGGCAGCACCAGGTGAAGGCAGCACCAGGTGAAGGCAGCACCAGGTGAAGGCAGCACCAGGTGAAGGCAGCACCATGTGAAGGTAGCACCAGGTGAAGGCAGCACCAGATGAAGGCAGCACCAGATGAAGGCTGCACCGGGTGAAGGCTGCACCGGGTGAAGGCAGCACCAGGTGAAGGCAGCACCAGGTGAAGGCAGCACCAGGTGAAGGCAGCACCCCACTCTAGCCCACTCACTCTAGTGCTGTCACTCAAGTACTAGCACCCCACTCTAGCCCACTCACTCTAGTGCTGTCACTTTAGTACTAGCACCCCACTCTAGCCCACTCACTCTAATGCTGTCACTTTAGTACTAGCACCCCACTCTAGCCCACTCACTCTACTACCAACACCCCACTCCAGCCCACTCTACCTAGTACTGCAAATCCACTCCAGCCCACTTACCTTAGTACCTACCGCTATTTCACTCTAGCCCACTCACATTGGTATTAGCGTCCCACTACAGCCCACTCATTCTATTACCGCAACCCCACCCAAGCCCCTTTCTCGCACTCGAGACCCACTCTTACCCACACAATAGTTCACTCACTAGCCCACTAACTGGCCCACTCACTGGCCCACTCACTGGCCCACTCACTGGCCCAATCACTGGCCCACTCACTGGCCACTCAAACAAGACAAAGCTGGGCGAGGCTGAAAAGGACAAGGTGGGGCTGGGCGAGGCTGGAAGGAACAAGGTGGGGCTGGGCGAGGCTGAAAGGAACAAGGTGGGGCTGGGCGAGGCTGAAAGGAACAAGGTGGGGCAGGGCGAGGCTGAAAGGAACAAGGTGGGGCAGGGCGAGGCTGAATGGAACAAGGTGGGGCTGGGCGAGGCTGAAAGGATTAGGGTGGGGCTGGGCGAGGCTGAAAAGAACAAGACGAAGCTGGGCGAGGCTGAAAAGAACAAAGTGGGGCTGGGCGAGGCTGAAAAGAACAAGGTGGGGCTGGGCGAGGCTGAAAGGAACAAGGTGGGGCTGGGCGAGGTTGAAAGGAACGAGGTGGGGCTGGGCGAGGCTGAAAAGAACAAGGTGGGGCTGGGCGAGGCTGAAAAGAACAAGGTGGGGCTGGGCGAGGCTGAAAGGAACAAGGTGGGGCAGGGCGAGGCTGAAAGGAACAAGGTGGGGCTGGGGGAGGCTGAAAGGAACAAGGTGGGGCAGGGCGAGGCTGAAAGGAACATGGTTGGGCTGGGCGAGGCTGAATGGAACAAGGTGGGGCAGGGCGAGGCTGAATGGAACAAGTTGGGGCAGGGTGAGGCTGAAAGGAACAAGGTGGGGCTGGGCGAGGCTGAAAAAAGAAAGGTGGGGCTAGGTGAGGCTGAAAAGAACAAGGTGAGGCAGGGTGAAGCTGAAAGGAACAAGGTGAGGCAGGGTGAAGCTTTCGAAAGGAACAAGGTGGGGCTGGGCGAGGCTGAAAAGAACAGGGTGGGGCTGAGCGAGGCTGAAAAGAACAAGGTGGGGCTGGGCGAGGCTGAAAGGAACAAGGTGGGGCAGGGTGAGGGTGAAAGTAACAAGTAGGGGCTGGGTGGAGCAGGGCGAGGCTAATGGGAATAGGGTGGGGTTGGGTGGGGCGGATCGAGACTGAAAGGAAGGGAACAAGGTGGGGCAGGGTGAGGCTTTTATGAACAAGGTATGACATGGCGAGGCTGAAAGGAACAAAGTGAGTCAGGGCGATCCTGAAAAGAACAGAATGTGACTTAATGGAAGGCACACATTAAGTCACATTCTGTTAGGGTGCGCTGAAACAATGGTGGTGTAAAAACAAAGTTGGGGATTTATGGATCGCAATATAGCAAAGTTTGGTTGGAGGGAACATTCTGGGGTTGAAAGGATCTTTAGGGTACAAGATGTGGCTTAATGAAGCATTAGAGACGAAGATTTGTCTATATGGAGCTAGGTGAAGCTAAGTGAGGCTGAGCTATAGAAGATGAGGATTGTTGGATCTGATAGTGGATGTTCTCAACAAGGTAGTAATTGGTTAGGCTGGCTGACTTCGCTTCCTCTCAACTCTAGTACTAAGCCTAACTTCTCCTAGCGTCCATGACGCTCTAGTCCTAAGCCTAACTTTTTTCCCGCGTGTAGGGCACTCTAGTCCAAAGTTTAACTTCTCCGTGTTCAAGCCACTCTAGTCCTAAGCAGTACTTCTCTTCCGCCTCTATGGCACTATAATCCTAAGCCTAACTTTTCCTGCGCGTCCTGGACGCTCTAGTCCTAAGCCTAACTTCTCCTTAGCATCCAGGACACTCTAGTCCTAAGCCAATTTTCTCCCCCGCCTCCACGGAACTAGTCACTTGGCTCGGGTCACGTAGAAGTTGCCGCCGCTCCCAAAGCTACATTCATTCTGGCTTTCTGCTCCTCCTTCCCCCTCCCCCCTCCGTAACCATCTCCTTCCCCCCTCCTCGATGGCGCTGGAAGCGGGCCAAGCGATGCCCAAAATAAGCTCAGCCCCACCGGGGAAGGAGAGTGGGTGTTGCCTGAAGAGGAGCGGGAATTTGAAGAGATCACGCAGTCCCATGATCTTTCTGCATGACTGCTAGTCTACTACATCACCTTACAGTCTGATGGTCTGCTGCACTACTTGCTTGAATGCCGTCCTTCTGACCTGCTGATCTACTGCACTGCTGTCAAATTGGTTTATTTCTTGTTATGCTGCTGTTCTGTTTTCCTTGTTTTCAAATTATTAACAATAATTTTTTCTACTCGTTATCAGCTTCTTCTTTCGGATCGTTATCAACCTTTTCTTTCTGGTCGTTCACAGTCCTCTGTTCTGGTCGTGGTCACCTGCCATCATATCATTCACCCGCAATCCCCGGCCCCCTCATCCCTCCAATCCCAAAATATTGAGCTTCAATTAGGAAATTAAAGCATCGGGGATGAGTGATAGCCAGGTCGATATTTCTCCCCACGCCCCGCAACGCGATTTCCTCATTTATGCGGCACCGCAGGGACCATTAGACTCGTGGGACAATTAGACTGAAGGGACCATTTATCAGTTACGAGGCACCGAAGGGACTGAATTGACAATTGGACCGAAGAGATCATTAGACAGAGGGGACCATTGGACTGAGGGACAATTGAAACAAGGAGACCATCAACAATTGGACTGGGAACAATCGGACCAATGGGACCATTAAAACGAGGTAAAAGGAGGAGGCCATTAGACGGATGGGTCCATTAGACTAAGAGGTCAACTGGGCTGAGGTGACAATTGAGCTTAGGTAACCCGCGAACTGAGAGACGATTGAACTGAGAGGACCAGTGGACTGGGGACAATTGGACCAAAAGTACCTTTATACTAAGGGACAATTGGACCAAGGGGACAATTAGACTAAAGGAAAAATTGAACCGAGGGGACCATTCGACGGGACTAACTGGACTAAGAGCAAAATTGGACTTTGGGAACCAGTGACCTGAAGGACAATTGGACTGAGGGAACCGGTGGACTGAGGGACAATTGGACCAAGGGGACCATTAGACTAAGAGGTCCAGTGGATTGTGGGACAATTCCACCAAGGAGACCAGTGGATTGACGGACAATTGGACCAAGGGAACCATTAGACCAAGGGAAAACTAGACTGAAGGGACCTTTAGACTAAAGGGACCAGTGGACTGACGGACCATTGGACCAAGGGGACAAATCATTACACCCGATTTAATTTCCAGTCTCAAACACTGACAGCTTCGCTCGCAACGCCACTTGATGATTAATTGCCTCCATATACATTTATATTTACATACATTTAAATATTTACCCATACATACATTTGCCGTAGCCATAGCATTGGAAACTGCAGGCGAAGTCATTCCTGTAGCCCGTAAATAAATGAGTGATATCAATCCCTGAATCACTCTTTTCAATCAGTTTTTAGTGAAGCCAAAACATGACATCTTTGTTGAACATTTCCAAACTACGCTCTTTGGGTGAAGCTATTATGGCGAGTATGATTATTTATTCTACAATCAAGATTATATGATTATTTTCCAAATGCAATGGAGGATAAATGAAATGAATATAGACTCTCATGAATATGGAAGCTCGCAGTTCCATGAAACTCCGAGGCAGCAACAGACAAAGCGGGATTATATTCACTGGATTATTTCCATTTAAATTGTACGTCATTTGAGCTCTGTATAAATGAATGGCGGGAAGAGAGGGAGAGAATAGAAATAAAAAGAGAAACGAGAGGGAGGAAGAGAGAAAAGAAAGAATGCGAAAAAAGAGGGAGAAGTGAGCGAGAAAGAGGAAGATTGAGGGAGAGAGAATGAGAAAATAGAGAGAGACTAGAGTCACGAGAGAGAAGAGAGAATTTGAATTTAGGAGATAAAGAAAGGAGAGAAGAGAGAGATGAATGAGAGAATGAGAAATCTCATGAGAGCTCAGATGGCTTAGAGTACTGGGCTCATGGCTTAGGGTGCTGGACTCGGGGCTTAGGGTGGTGGGCTCGGGGCTTAGAGTGCTGGGCTCGGGGTTTAGGGTGCTGGGCTCGGGGCTTAGAGTGCTGGGCTCGGGGCTTAGAGTGCTGGGCTCGGGGCTTTCTGGGCTCGGGGCTTAGGGTGCTGGGCTCACGTCCCTGATACCTTCACACGTCCCTGTTATCTTCACACGTCCCTGTTATCTTCACACATCCCTGTTATCTTCACACATCCCTGTTATCTTCACAGATCCCTGTTATCTCACACGATCCTGTTATCTTCACACATCCCTGTTATCCTCACACATCCCTGTTATCTTCACACATCCCTGTAATCTTCACACATCCCTGTTATCTCACACGTCCCTGTTATCTTCACACGTTCCTGTTATCTTCACACATCCCTATTATCTTCATACATCCCTGTTATCTCACACGTTCCTGTTATCTTCACACATCCCTGTTATCTTTTCCAGCAGCAGCACCAGCGGCAGCAGCACCAGCAGCACCAGCAGCACCAACATCAGCAGCAGCAGAACCAGCAGCAGCAGCACCAGCAGCACCAGCAGCGGCACCAGCAGCACCAACAGCACCAGCACCAGCACCAGCAGCAGCAGCAGCACCAGCAGCACCAGCANGTTTGATTTGCAATGCACGTCGGACGGTAAAATGAAACACGTGACATTACAACCTGTCTCTTATACACATCTAGATGTGTATAAGAGACAGCACCAGCAGCAGCAGCACCAGCACCAGCAGCAGCAGCAGCACCAGCAGCAGCACCAGCACCAGCACCAGCAGCAGCACCAGCAGCAGCAGCGACGCTCTAAGTGGCAGGTTATTTTTAGGTCGGCAGAAAAGATGAGGGACTTGGAGAGCCTGGGGATAGGGGCAAGGAGGGACCGGGTTGGGCCAGGGAGGGTCAGAGGGGCAGGGTGGCTCGGGGAGTGAAAGATTGTGGTAGGGAAGGGCATGAGTTGCAAGGGATTGATATAGGTGGCAAGAAGGTACCAGGGAGGGGGATGGAGGGGCGAAGAGGGGTAGAGTGGGGTAGGTAAGGGCAGAGTTGGCTAGGGAGGGGCATAAGGGGTCAGAGAGTGGCCAGGGAGGAGCAGGATAGGTCTAGGGAAGGGCAGATGGAGTAGCGAGTAACAGGGAGAGGCAGAGTGGGGCTGGGAGGAGCAACGAGGGGAAGAGTGGGGTAGGGAGGGGCAGCTTGGGGTAAAGAGGGGCCAGGGAGGGGCAGGGCGGCACAGTGGGTCGATGAGACCAGGTGCGTGGGAGTGAGCGAGGCGAGGTCGTCGTGATGAAGGGGGAGGAAGAGGAAGAAGGGGGTTTGGGAAGGTTCCTGTAGAATTGAACGCAGGAAGAAGAGCAGCACAGCCAGGAAGAACAGCACAGCCAGGAAGAGCAGCACAACCAGGAAGAGCAGCACAGCCTGATAGAGCAGGAAGAACAGCACAGCTAGGAAGAACAGCACAGCTAGGAAGAGCAGCACAGCCTGAAAGAGCAGGAAGAACAGCACAGCTAGGAAGAACAGCACTGCTAGGAAGAACAGCACAGCTAGAAACATCATATACCTTCTGTTTTACCATCTCGATACCTATTGTAATGGAACAAAACAAATAAGTAACGCGTGCGGGACTTTAGAGTGATGATGTGTAAAAAGATTACGGGCCTTCGGAGTTATGATGTGTAAAGAGGCTACAGAACTTTGGAATGATGATGTGTAAAAAGGTTACAGGACTTTGGAGAGATGATGTGTAAAGAAGCTTCGGGACTTAAGGATTATGATGTGTGAAGAGGCTACGGGTTTTTGGAGTGATGATGAGTACCGAGGCCACATTTGGTGAACACAAAATGCCACTGTTTGCAAGAGACAGACAATAGATCTAGTGAGCGCTGCTGATGGCGACACTTTATGGAGCCTTTGCGGCACTTTTTTCTGATGAACGTTTCATAGAAGAGAAGCTAACACTATGAGTATTCTGTTTCCCCTCATGTGTTTCCCTACATTCTAGAGTACTGCTGCCATATTTGGATGCCGCTAAGGCGAGTGCGGTGGCAGACGTGCGGTGGATAAGGCGAGTGCGGTGGCAGCAATAA